CCGCGAACTAACGTACCTGCGACGGACTTGTATCTGCATGTGCAGTGGGCGTGGTTTAACTGAAGTGGCGTCACACTTACTGCATGTACTGTGTTGACTCCGCGGGCGTGCGCGACGAGGTTCCACACAGAGAGCCTCGGTTTCGATGCCAACATGCGCAGACGGCACTAATGTGAAATCCCTCTACATGTATACTGTGTCGACTCCGCCGGCGCGTGCGACAGCGTTCAACACAGAGATCTTCGGTTTCGATACTGATATGCGCGGACAGCGCTCAAGTGAAATCCCTCTATTGAGTTCAAAACGTATATTGTGTGCATGCACTTAATGCGCGATCCAAACTAGGAAATAATACGCGTTCAGTTTTCGGCCAGTTTAAAGAGAACGGAAACTTCGAAAGTCATTTTGATTAAACAGACGTTCGATGCAAAAGTTTCTAAGACTGTGGAGTAAGAAAAAAGCATTTGGGATCACTCGTAGTGAGTAACATATCGTCCTGTAACTATTTGTCAATTTTTTTCTTCTACCGTGATTTTTGACAAACTGTTGAAACAATGTCAAAGTGTGAATCAGACATCTGGCCATAATTTCTTTTCTCAATGGTCGAGTTGTCCGAACTTGAGTTGGCAAACACTCAAGTTGTCTAGACCTCAGATTGCACAACAGAGCCTTAGATTGGATCTCACACTTTGGGACCCCAAGCCAAAAGGGCTTCTCGCTTTGCACTTCCATTGCCAGCTACCTTGCTAAAATACAAAGCTGTGGAAAACACTGCTTTTACGTGCTTAAATTTCAGTAAACGTATGATGCACATTTTGCAATTTACCAGATATGCCAAGAATTTTTTCACCAAACCTGGAACTCAAAATCATCATTGCGGTTGAAGACAATGAAAAATACCAGAATTGTGACAAAACACCATGTATTTCCAGCCAAGACAAGAAGGGCAGGCACCAGTTCAATCTGCAGGTACAAACAAGTGGATGTTAATTGTCAATACCAAGGAAAACACAACAATAAACAATAAAATCGAAAATATTGGGTTATTGTCCTTTTGTTGAACGGCAAACAAGGGGGCAACACTCACTTTATTTTATATCAACCACTTTTTTTTTAAATTCAAGGCTTTTACTGTGCAACTTTACCTCGCCACAGACCCTGACCGAACCCTTTCCACATAATGTAACCAAAGAGCCCAAATACAAGTTCTCTGTAAATACAGCAGCTACAAGTTTCCTGTGCACCAACTAACAACTAATTCAGTACATTGTGAAAAACATGCTATCTGCCCTCCACTGATGTGGCCCTCGTTCAATAACAGAACAGTACTATTTGAATAAATAGCTGTTTCTGTGCGAGAACTTCAGGGGGTAGGGGCATTTTTATGTATCACTCACAGGTGCACGTGTGTTTCTGTTGCAATATTCAGTCTTCATTTGACCACTGGGTGCATGCACCTGTTTGTTCTTTCCTTAGTGAACTTGTACAAGTATTTTAACTTCAGGTGAATACAAAATGTCCGTTACAAAAAAGTTTAACAGGAAACAAAGGTAAATGTACATTTACATCGACTTCATTAACCAAATTGCATTGCAGGATACCTTCATACCTTATACTTTATCTCATGACAAAGGTCTAACAACTTGATTTTTTTGGCACCCACAAATTACGCACTTGTTTCCGTAGCATCTTTGAAGGCCCATACATGTATGTACACGTGCATGTATCTTACCACTTTAGTGTGTGCGAACACCAATGGCAGCCCATATGCAGAAACTACAATTCCAGTAGTAAGAAAGATGCACAATTCACGTAGTGCGCTGCTTGCTGCTCCCAAGCTGTCAATGTTGGATATACGATTTGCTACCAACATTGGTACTGGAGACAGCACATAAAAGGTAACTACAAACATTGGCCACCACTGTCTGTGTAAAATCAAAGTATTAGGAAAAGAGTACTATAAAAAGCAGACAACTACAATCATATATACATAGGTAGATGGAAATGCACACAAACGAGTGATGTGAATTTTATGCTTGGACAATGTGTAGTATTACTGCTTTACATCTACTGTGGGGATACAGGCAGCATTTTAAAACCATGGTTCCCATAATCCCTTTTACCGCTGATCATATTTGATATATTAAAATGACACGAAAAAAATCCTGATTGCCCTGTCTGAAACACCAAAACAACTGTGGAAGGCCACACTTTTTGAAAATTCTTTGGCGGTATCCTTTCAACAGAAAAGCATTTATTTTTCTTCTGTTTTCCCCCACCCACTTCTCTTCTCCTCCAAAGTCCACAGACTTCGTACACCTTTTTTTTCTGGGAAAGGCTTCGGTCACTTTGCAAACTTGAATTTGTAACAAACTTCACCCCTATCTTGCAGTATAGATGTGTCTTGAACTATGTCATGGATGATGTTATAGTAAGTCAATGTGACAAGCCCATGTATATACCCAGAACAACATGTCTGACTGGGTCCAATCTTGGTATATGCACAAACCAAGATGTTTTGGATGTGAAACTTAGTGACACAGTGATGACATCATAAGATTTTTATCAATTTCTTATATTACATTATTTTATATTCTTTTTGATGGATCTTCTAAGCCAAACAGCGTTTTTCAAAATAAATTTTTGCAAACCTTTGGTAGGTCAACTGGTAGTCTTGGGTCCAAGACACCTTTTGCAGTGCTGCAATCCGATATATGTGCTTTGCATGCATAACTTAAGTGATTCATTGTGACAGTGCCCTCTTTGTAATATGTACAGCTACGCTTAAGTTTGTGATACATGTAGCTATTTGTCTAGTGATGGTTCAAGTCACTGATAGTGATTTGTTGTGAGATGGTTTGTTTCACTGAAGACACTACACTGTACAAAAAGGTCTTGGAACGAAGCCTAGCCAACTAGATGGGCAGGTTGTCTGGAAAATCTTGTGATGTCATAAAGTCAATATGATGTCATGATCAAATCGATTAGGTTGAACTAAACTGGAAAAGGACCAAAATTTGTAATAACTCATTTTAATTTGGGCTGTCCACATTTTTCAACATTTTCAAAAACAAACAAAAATGCTCCAGGGCTCCATTGATGGGCGGCCGCTGCTCCATGCTAATCCAGCCGCGTTTGAAAAGACGCCACTTGCATTCACTGGGAACAAAGGAAATTATGCAACACCTAACAATGCTAAGCTCTCTTTACAGGGCAACAGGCCTGGCTGAAATATTCAGGAGTCAATGATTGTGCCTGTCAGCTTAGATGAGCCACCAAATAGGCATTTGTGTGGGTGTAAACATCCAAATTCCAGGATTTTGAAAACTGAAATTCTTGATAGCCCATATGTGTGCACTGCATTTTTAAAAGCACCCGACAGCGGGTTAATAAAGGACAAAATATGCAAGAATGAGCCACTTTATTTCTAAGCCCTATAACAAAGCACTGGATGTCATTCCTCCTGTTATGGCTTATGAAAAACTTTGCTTGCTCAAATGGCACCCAGGTGAATTACATGTATAATGTTACATGCGTATTTGTGGTAAAGTTCTCCATCTTGCACCAATTTGCGGCGCTATACCATCTTTGATTTACTCAATTAGCATACATGGTCATCATTAAAGGATCCATGAAGTGAATTTCTTAGAATCACTTTCCATTTATCTCTGTTCTCTTCTTTAATGTATGAAGACTGTTTGACTTTTTTTTGAGATTCAAGCACTTCTAGACAAGTGAAGGCGCTTTCAGTTTGTATGTTTTCATGTTTAAATTGTGAACTTCAAATTTGCCATCTGAAAACATTTCTGTGAAAAGGTTGCTTGCTTGCTTATTGCCATATACATGTAATTAAATAACAATAAATTGCCAAAGGAAATGAAATCTATGATAGCAGAGTTTTAAAAATCTAGAAATTTTCTGCACAAATCAGTGCAATATTGAGGCTTGGTGCCTTGGATGACATCATCATTTTGCTCATGAAAATTATGAAAATGCAAACATCCATAAGCATAAAATCCAAAAACACTCCAAAATATGGGTTGCAATTGTAAAACAAAAATTTTCATTCAGGTAGCTTGAAACCAAGAGGTGCAATTTCAAGGGTATTAATACAATTTAGTAAAATATTTCTATTTTATGGTCCCTTTAATCTTTTTGATTTATCCTGATTGCCAATGCTTATTGTTCATTCCTGTTTCTTGTACAAACATTATACACCTACACAAAATGCTGTACACACTATTGTTTCTACTAACAGCTAAAAGGGCAAGGGATCTTGTAAAACCCACAAGCATACTTAGTCATACTGTCATTTGTCAAAAAAAGTTTCTCAGTATGTAAGTTACCGGTAACAAGGTCAAGACATGACTAACATAATTTCCTTTTAGACGTTTTCTTACTGCAACAACATACTATTTCTCTTTTTTTTAAGGCCTGCATTATGAACAGTTCATCGGGTCGGTCAGTTTTTAGATCAAGGTACATGTAGTTACTGTTAGACCACCACACAAAAAAGGACAATATGCCACAACATACTATAAATTAGTGACTACAATACCTTTAAAGGCCAAGACAAATATGACTATTACACCCTAAATGTTACTGCTGCACAGCCAGGCTTGTACAATTAGACCTGATGTAATTCTCTGATTGGCTGAATCCTCTGAAATCTTTTAAAACCACAATGGTTGAAAATTCTAGAATCTCACTGGCTAATCCTGTCTACACCAAATCCCTCTTTTGCTACAAAATTGCCAATAGGATTTCCTATGTGTTCTCCAAAGAAAAAAACAATGTGCAGCATGGTGAAAGAGTCCTGCAAATTCTGCACCCAATTAAATTAGGGGCAGGATATTGCAAGACCTTTTGCTTACAAACAACTCAATCACTGGTAAAATTAAATAAGGGAAGGATAATGAAAAAGACTTCAACTGTTTGTCCTCACAATTTGATGTTTTGTTGAAAGACACTCTTTGTACTGCAAAAGTAAAGAAACTCCCCTCCCCGGGCTCACCAAAAAAAGCTCACTTCGATCCACAAACCCCAACAGAAAAGTACACGTACCCAAGCAAACCCAACCAAACTAAACCCCCCCCAAAAAAAGAGGAGTGCATCTTGTACACTGCAGAGCCCAGATTATGCTACAAAGAGCCCAAGTTGTGGACTGCTGTATGCGCAGTATTGATCAGTGAAGTGTACAACCAAGAACTTATAGTGTAAATAAATAATTCCTACCAACTACATGTAAATCAGTTCTCATTGATCTCGCTGATAATTCCTGTTTTTTGTATTTGGTAAATCCATATCGGTCAGCAGAGGCAATTCAGTCATTGGTACAATTCCACAACAACTTCCCTATAGGCCAATTCAATCATTGGTACAATTCCACAACAACTTCCCTATAGGCCAGGGCGGACAGCTGGAACATTCGCAACATGGCGGGTAGCACCCAAAACGAGCCAATGAATACAACTGCGACGTGCACGAGCTTACGTACATGTACTGATCACAGAAAAAATTGAGAAGCCGGATCCTCTGACTGGCTGGTTTGTGCACGTCACCATGGTCATAGTTTTCATCATCGCCATGTGGTTGCTACCCGCCACTTTGCAAAACTCATGGATGTCTGCCCTGGCCTATACCTTGTCAAACTCAAAAGATCTTGTAGAATTTAGGTTTAGGTAGGGACAATCATCAAAGACTACTACATGTACATGTACTACCTATCCTAATCAGGTAAAACTTAGACTGTTTGTTTGGAGATTTATACCACAGTACTTACTGTCCCCATGTCGGCAGTGCACATGACAGGACCACTAAGAGAATGCCAATTGAAGCTGAGAAGGCCAAAGCAACCAGGCTGAAATAAATGTCAATGAAAAAATAATTAAACTATATGTATGAAATAAGTATTCCACTCATCCTTTGTCACAGCCCTCAAGTCTTTAATCATCCAAAATTCATATACACATATACATTATTCATAAAACTGTCATTTTTAATATATGCCATAGCCTATATGTTGATTCTCATGCTAAAAAATGTCCCTGTGGCTTATATTCTGGGCGGCAATATACAGCAGCATTTGAAGAATGACATCAGTCACTGAAGAGGCAGATGTGAGACCCAGCCTGATCCAGGCCACGGCTGGCCGGCCACACGTGTAAGTGACGCAGCACAGGGACAAGGCAGTCATGTCATCAGTCATTCGTTGGTTGCCAATTACATTGGCTCTACTCGCTTGTTGGAAATACAGGAAACAAGTCCAGAGAACTGAATAAATGTACTGTAAGTGCCATTCACACCTCACAAATTGTGTGGTGCATCTGTTTGTTTTGTCTACGAGTTTCAGTACAGATGTGTGAGTACAGGTGGTGCGTAAAATGGGTATGTACATGTACAATACATTTGCGATGGCCCCGATCACATGATGGTGTAACCTCACGTGCTGAGAACTTACTAATAACCAACCAAGGACACCGATAGGTACAGCATTTCAGCTGCAGAACAGTACTAAGTTCTCACTGCATTCAATTGTGGGTATTAGGGGTGTGCATTTGCGGGTGTTTTTAGAACCGAGTACCCGTTTTTTGTTAACATCGGGTACCCGGAAAAGAGATCGCCTAATAACAAATGGCATTGTGCGCAACCCGGTGGATCATGTGCCCGAAACACGGTTCTTTTTGGTACACAGGAAGCAAGCAGAACATTGTTCTAAACGTCGGAGTTAATCTCTCCTACCTTTTTATCAAACGAAACTGTTACCATCAGTTTGCAAATTTTTTGTGGGTGTATGAAACAGAAAAACAAATCTTCACGGGAAACGTCAGAAAAGAGAACAGAGCTGCAAACCACCTACATGATATACGCACCTGCAAACGCTCAAAGGAAATGTCCCGGATGCTGCATGACGACGGACACGCGGAACGCATGTGACGTGCACAAATGGTGAGCGCTGGTCGCGTCACGTGCGGACCAGATCAGTGCTATGTACGTCACGGGTTAAAAGGCTTGAAGTTTTATGTACAAAAATACCACCGTAACTCGAACAATGCCCACACCATTGCATCCACTTATTTTGAAGTTTCTGATTCAAAAAACCGCCACCAAATGCTTCAAACGGCGTTGAAAGTATCGGAAGTCTATATAGGGTCAGGATCCTCGCAAGTTCATTTCTTTTCTGACGAGGACCAGCACGTTGCATGAATCAACGTAGCTGCAACTGTGTAATCCTGGCTTTCAAGACGCTGAAACTAACCTGATTGCAACGCGGGCCCAATTGTAGTCCCCTTCAGGCAGTCCAATCGCCGACACTGCAGCAGCCATGTGATCGTAAAAAGAAAGGTCATGTGACCACACATAAGGAAGCCCAAGTGAAT